AGGCCCTGGGACGGATGTACACTGGCAAGGGGTGTCTCACAACACCTTCCCACACTGGAAGCCAAGTCCTCCCTGCTGAGGCACCCCTTGCTTCACCCCACCCCAAACCCTTGTAAGACATGGAACAAACCCTAGGGAGCTATTCCTCTACTACACAGAGTTAAAGGGAAAAAAAAATACTTCACATCAGTTCATTCCCTGACTAACATGCACCAGAGCTTACAAAACAGCATCACATTTAGAAGCCAAGCCAAAGATTGACCACAGAGGAACTTGACCCCTTTCTCCAGACAGCCTGGCCTTCTTGCTCTTCCTCAAAGATGAGCCCTTCACCCTTGCTATACCTCCCCCTACCAAGCTGTTCCAAGATTGGGCTTTGTTTCTGTAATCCTCTTCTCAACATCAGTGTCACCTCCTCCCAGAGACCTTCTCGGACTACCACACTGAGTGACCGCCCCAGTCACCCCAGTTTTTGCTCTCTGGGTTGTATCTCCTCACGGCGCTTGCCACTATCGAAGAAGACTTTTCTGTCAGTGTTGTCTGCCTCCCACCCCCCATTACATGGAAGCAGATAGAAACAGATTGCACCTGGGGAATCACCACTGGTTCCCAAAGTCGGAAAGAGTTCAGAGTGACAGAAGCCATGACTCAAAGCAAGTCTAGACCATCAACACAGGAAGGGACTTTCCAGGCCCACTCACCCTTTCCATTTATCTAGAAGATTTGGACCACTGAGGTGGAGGAATTCCTTCAAGGCCAGTTGATGCAAGGGGCTTTTGTGCTTTCCACTATATGGGTCAACCTTCCAAACTGACCCCAAAGCATGGAAGAGTCTAGAGGGTTGGTGGAAGAAACCCCCTAACTGAAAGGGCTCCAGCAGCCTGACCTGAGCCCCTTCCCCACACCCTGTCTCCAGATCTGCCCAGAGTCAGGATAGAAGTCCTCCCTGGCTGGGTGTGTCTTCCCAATGAATCTCCCTCCAAGCTGGCTTTCTGGGAAACCAGATTCTAGTAATCCACCTAGGCCCCTCCCTCTCCGGCTTGGGAGCATTTTTCAGAAGAAGCATGTCTTCTAATGGAACCTTTGTTCCAGACTAGGAGTGTCCATCTTCTTGGGAAAACAGGCCACCTGAGTATTGCTTAGGTCAAGTACAGAGTTGAAGAGATCCATATGGCTGGTGCTAAAGGCTCATGCCTGTGATCCTACCTACTTTGGAGACTGAGATCTGAAGATTGTGGTTGGAAGACAGCTCAGGCAGGAAAGTCCCTGAGACTCTTATCTCCATTTAAGCACCAAAAAAGCTGTGACTTAAGTGGCAGAGCTCTGTCCAACCTCAAGGACAGCATCTGGGCCCTTAGTTCAAGCTCCATGACCAGAACAAAAAGAAAAAGAAATGGTCCATACTTCCAGCTTTCAGCCACACCTCAGCTGGGCACAAGAGGGCGCCTCTGGCTACTTTGTAGTTCTTTGATTTTTATCTAAGGTAAACAAAACCTGGTGCTTTGGTGATTGGAGCTTTTTTTTTTTTTTTTGTCAGTCATAGGGTTTGAACGCTGGGCCTGGGCCATGTCCCTGAGTTCTTCAGCTCAAGGCTAGTGCTCTACCACTTTGAACAACTGCACCACTTCTGTTTTTCTGGTGGCTAGTTGGAGATAAGAGTCTCAGGGACTTTCTGGCCCAGACTGGCTTTGAACGGCAATTCTCAGATCTCAGCCTCCTGAGTAGCTAGGATTACAGGCATGAGCCACCAGTGCCAGCTCTCTTTTCTTTTTTTCTTTTTCGTTCTTTCTTTCTTCCTTCCTTTCTTCCTTTCTTTTTTTGTAATATCAGTACTGGGGCTTGAAGTCAGAATGTCATTCTCTTGCCTGGCTTTTTTCACTCAAGGTCAGTACTCTACCATTTGAGCCGAGCCTTCACTTCTGGGGTGTGTGTGTGTGTGTGTGTGTGTGTGTGTGTGTGTGTTGGTATACACTAGGACATTCAGGACCTGAGCACTGACCCTTCATTTTTGCACACAAGGCTAGCTCTCTAGCACTGGAACCACAGCTCTACTTCTAGCTTTTTGATGGTTTATTAGAGGTAAGAATCTCACAGACGTTCCTGCCCAGGCTGGATTTGAACCTCAATCCTCAGATCTCAGCCTTCTGAGTAGCTAAGATTACAGGTGTAAGCCACTGGTGCCTGACTCATTTCCAGCTTTTTGCTGGGTAAGTGGTAAGATATACCAAGCTGTCTACGAACCATGATCCTCAGATGTCAGCCTCTTGAGTAACTAGGATTATAGGTGTGAATTACTGTCATCCAACATGGCTGAGATCCCTATGTGGAATGTCTCAAACATTCCTCTTCATGCACAATGGCATAGGGGTTTTCTGATTTCAGCAATACAGGAAGGGATAATCCTTTGACATAGTCAAAGACTGCTGCGCGCGCGCGCGCGCGCACACACACACACACACACACACTTGTCCCAGAGGAAGAAAGGGGGGGTTTGACTGAACAGGGGAAAGAGTCTGAGGTTGGAAGTGAATGGGAAATGGGGTGGGGCAGTGCATTTTCCTGGGTCTGTGGAATGATAGTGCTGGAAATTTTCAGTCTCTGGAAAGAGACTGTTTCGAAGGCATAGTCAGATGTGGAGCTTTTCTTGGAACTGGGCTTGCACAGCAAGCACTTCATGTTTTCTTAGATACTGGTAGCTCAGGCCAAGCAGCTGGAGGATCCCTACTAACTGGCAGAACAAGCCTTGACTACAGTTTGGAGGTGGGCCAAGAGCCTCTGCACAGCTTACCAAAGCCCTAGGCCAACCTAAGGCTCTGGTGGGGGAGAGGAAATGTTATGGGTTATTTTGACCATAAAGCCATCTGATCCCTCTGCCACCACCATAAAGAAACAGTTACCGTATCGTTGCTCACTGTGACTTTGAGCCAGAAAGAGACTCTAATCAGGCACAAATTTTGACTCAGGTAGCAAAGGAGGTAAGGGTGAGCTGGGCCTGAGGTCTGAAGAAGCAGGACACTGGGAGGTATTAAGCAGTTGTGAAAAGAGATGTGGATGGCTGACAGAGATGGACCAATATCTACTTTTAAGCATTATATGACTGGAAAGAAGAAAATCAAGCTCCAGATCAGGGACTGGGAATGTGGCTTAGTGGTAGAGTGCTTGCCTAGCATACATGAAGCCCTGAGTTCAGTTCCTCAGTACCATATAAACAGAAAAAGAAAAAAAAAAAGCCAGAAGTGGCATTGTGGCTCTAGTGAAAAGCTAGAAGTGGCACTGTGGCTCAAGTGGTAGAGTGCTAGCCTTGAGCAAAAGAAGCTCAGAGACAATGCCCAGGTGCTGAATTTCAAACCTAGGACTGACAAATAAAAAATAAAAAAAAAACTACTCCAGATTCACCTGTTTGAGTCAGGAAAAGCTAAGTAATATTACAATAACAAATAATCCCCAAATTGCCAGGTGATAGTGGTTCAAGTTTATAATCCTATCCTAGCTACTCAGGAGGCTGAGTTTGGAGGATGGTGATTCAAACCCAGTCTAGACAGAGAAATCTGTGAAACTCATCTCTAAATAACCACTAAAAGGCTGGAAGTGCCAACCAATGAGAAAAAGCAGCATCAGAATTTGAGTCCCAGTTATGGACAAAAAAAAAGCTAGAAGTGGAGTTGTGGTTCAAGTGGTAGAGCACCAGCCTTGAGTGAACAAAATCTCAGTAAGAGCATTAGGTCCTGAGTTCAAGCTCCAGTATGGACATTCACACACACACACACACACACACACACATCCAAACTCTGGTTCAGTTACACATCTAGGTCAGTCAGCAGGGCCTCCCTAGGCTGAGGGAAGTACTGCTATGAAGCGTGTCCACAGTGGAGAGGCAGAGAAGAGAACCCTGGAGGGGTCTCCATGCCAGCTTGGAAATGACTGGACCTCTTCTGCAGCCACTCAGCCCAAACTCATCTTGGGACTCCACCCACACATGCGAGGGCCAGGGTGAGTCTTCCGTGTGCCCCAGAGGAGGGCTGAGTTTCAGTGCTAACAACTACCACACCCAGAAGTTGGATTCTGAAGCTTTGCAAAATGCTTACATTTTTCCCTACCAGTCTCTGAGTCCACATATTCCTTCCCCTCCTAATGACAGGCTCTACAAGGTGAGGACAGGAATACAGGGCCCAGCTGCGTGGTGGGTGGAGCTGGGCGGCTTCCTGACTCTGGAACAGATGACCCAAGGATTCACAGCAGCTCCCTCTTCCCCTCCCCCCAGAGTACTTCCACACCCTTTCATACCACACACACACACACATATATGCAAGCACATGCATGCATGCACACATGCACAATATCACCTCCACCACCATCAATAGCAGCAGCAGCATCAAAGGGAAAATATGAACCAAAAGCCAAATCCATTCGCTTTTATTGAAGTCTCTGGGCTCAAAGGCAAAGAAGGGGGGAAATGGAATGAGAAGAGAACTGGAGAGAGATTCCCAAAACACACCCAGGCCAGGCCATCTGTCCCCAAGAACCACAGCTAGATGTCCAAATGAGATGGGCTCTGATTCATCCCCTCCCCTTACTAGAGCTGAAGGGGACCACGTGACAGGGCCAGGAACACATCACTTCCATTCTCTTTCCTTGGAGGAAAGAGGATGCCAAAAAGCATGGTAGGAGAGTTTGGGAATGGAAAAAGACTGGAAAGGAGAGCTCAGAAATGCAAGCTGAGCATCCTAGTAGGAGGAGGGAGGGAGATTTCCAAGAGGCTGGAACAAAAGGCATGAGGTGTCAGGGTTCTTTTCTTTGTGAGGGGTCTACTGTGCATTTGACTATTCAGCGGCTTTTACCCTGGTCACTGCTGTACTGGTTTCTCACAGCTCAGGGCCTATTCATAGGATGCTAGAGACATCTTGGTCCACACATGCAGAGAAGTTTGGGGCTGAAAATAAAGAGTGGAAGAGTCTGAAAAGATTACAGGAAGTTGACTTTGCTCATGCCTGAACCTGAGCTGGTGCTTAAATGGAGACGCTGTTCTCGATGAGAGGAGGATCCAGGTAGGCATAGGGCAGGGCCAAGTTCTGGTTCCGATTCCTGATGTCCCTTGAGATCTGGGCCAAGCAGTTCTGGAAGGCTGCTATGCTCTGTTTGGGGACCTCCTCTGTGAAGTGTTCATCTGGGTAGGTGCCCAGAGGCCTCTAAGGGGGGGGAAAAAAAAAGGATGGTATACAGTATGGTGGGATGGAAACTTCATGAAGCACCAGTGTCAACAAATTCAATCAAGCTGGTGTTGCCATTGTGAGCACAGTCCTTCAAAGGACAACCCCAAACCATGACTCTCCACTGTCAGCCTGACCCAGAACACACCCTTCTCCCCAGGGTCCAAAGCCTACAGTGTAAGACACGCTGTGACTTGGAAGCTGGACAACCTAGTTTCTTTGCGCCCTCTGCTGGCAGTTTTGCATGTTACTCTTTCAGCTCAATTCCTGCATCTGAAAGTGGATTAAGCCCAAAAAAAATCTTCTCAGTTTCTTTCCAGAATCTGATCCACTCTCTGAACTAAGAGAACACAATCACACTTACCACCCAACAGAGGCTGACATAGACATGTTCCATCAAAGAAGTTCAAGAATACATTTGCTATCTCACAATTTCAGAAAATTCAATCCCTGGTTAAATTAATATTCAGCTGACATAATGGAGCTTTTGCCAAAACAATCACTGTCACCACTACACTATTGCACTTTGTAGCATGACCAACCACAGTCATGTGTCAAAGAGCCAGACCTGGTGGCTCACACTTGTAATCTCAGCTACTCAAGAGGCAGAGATCAGTAGCATTAGCGTTCAGAGACAGCCTGGATCAAAAGTTAGCAAGGCCCCATCTCAATAAGGTGAAATAAGGTAAAAGCCAAGTTCTAGTGGCTCATATCTAACTACTCAGGAGGCTGAGATCTGAGGGTTGTGGTTCAAAGCCAGCCCAGGCAGGAAACTCCAGGAGACTCTAATCTCCATTTGACTACCAAAAAAAAGAAAAAAAGTCACAAGTGGAGCCAAAGCTTAAGTGGTAGAACATTAGCCTTAGGCAAAAAAGCTCAGCAACAGTGCCCAGGCTCTGAGTTCAAGCTCCAGGAATGGCACACACACACACACACACACACTCTCTCTCTCTCTCTCTCTCTCTCTCTGAGTCAGTTGAAGTAGTGTATTCTATGGTCCTAGCTACACAGGAAACTATAGATAGGAGGACACAAGTCAGAAGCCAGCCCCAGGCATAAACACAAGGCCCTACTTGAAAAGCAACTGAAGCAAAGAAGCAAAGGAAGGAACGAAGGAGAAAGAAAGAATTAAGTATGGTTCATGTGGTAGAGCAAGTAAGCAAGTAAGCTTGAGGTCCTGAGTTCAAACCCTAGTATTGCAGAAAACACTGGTGAACTAACATTCACTCAACATCCATCAGTGTCTTCCTGTGTATAGGACTGTGTCTTCTCCCATGATGACATCACACCCAGGTCACCATCGCACTATATGGGCCCAGCCTCCTAACTACCTCACACTTCTCATCTGATTAACCTTCATATAATATAACTGGGTCAATATCATTATTTTTTTGTTGTTAGTTCCTTTGGGGCTTGAATTCAGGGCCTGGGCACTATTCTTGGGCTTTTCTGCTCAAGGCTCTACCACTTTGAGCCACAGCCACACTTCTGGTTTTCTGGTGGTAACTGGAGCTAAGAGTCTCACAGACTTTCCTGCCCAGGTTAGTTTCAAATCCCAATCCTCAGATCTCAGGCTCTTTAGTAGCTAAGATTATAGGTGTGAGCCACCAGGGCCCAGCACCACTATTATTTTTTAAATTCTGTTTTGATAGGCACTTATGGCTAACACTAATCCTAGCTACTAGGGAAGCTGAGATCAGAGACTCTCAGTTCAAAGCCAGCTGAAGCAGAAAAGTCCATGAGACTCTTACTCCAATTAACCAGAAAAAAGCCAGTTTGGAGATGTGGTTTAAGTGGTTGAGTGTGATCCATGAGTGAAAGACAGGAGAGAGAATACAAGGCTCTGAGTTCAAGCCACAGTAGCAACACAAGAAAAAAGGGAAAAATAACACGGGGCTGGGAAGGTGGCTCAGTGGTAGAGCACTTGCCTTGCATGCATGAGGCCCTGGGTTCGATTCCTCAGTACCACATAAGCAAAAAGAAAAAAGCCAGAAGTGGTGCTGTGGCTCTAAGTGGTAGAGTGCTAGCCCTGAGCTGAAGAGCTGAGGGACAGCACCCAGGCCCAGAGTTCAGGCCCATGACCGGACCCCCAAAAAAAAATAACAGTAATAGTAGACATTATTTTCTTGACCCCAATTTTAGTGAAGAGACCATTATTGCCTCACCATAACTACAGTGTTTTCTTAAATATGCTTTATGACAACTCCTTCAGGGCTTCATTTCACATTGCTTTTATTAGTAATGGCTATTCACACTGACCGAATGCTTTTCCAACATATGTGGAGATAATTACATAGGATACTTCTTTATTGATGCAACAAACTATACTGCTAGTATCACCCTTCATTCCTAGAATAAACTAGATCTCATTGTAGCATATTATTGCTTCACTAGACACTGTTGGCTGGTATATTCTTTTTTTTTGTCATTGGTCATGGGGCTTGAACCTTGGGCCTGAGAACTGTCCCAGATCTCTTCAGCTCAAGGCAGGTGCTCTACCACTTAAGGCAAGGCACCACTTCTGGTTTTCTGGTGGTTTATTGGAGATTAGAGTTTCATGGCTTTTCTTGTCGGGGCTGGCTTTGAACCATGATCCTCAGATCTCAGCCACTTGAGTAGCTAGGATTACAGGCGTGAGCCACCAGTGCTCCTTGAAGATTTGACACATTTTTACATTGCTATATGGTTTTCACCTCTTGTGAAGTTTCCATTGCTCATGTTTTTTCTTAGGAAATCATTTGTTTCACTTAGACTTCTAATTTTGTTTGCCAAGTATCATAAGTAGAATTTCCTTGTAATCTTCAAAAGCCTTCTCTATATGCTCTTTCCATTACTAATGTTCATTAGTACATTATATTCCTTTTTTTGTTTTTTGTCAGATGTGGGGCCTGAACTCTGGGCCTGGGCGCTGTCCCTCAGTTCTTCAGCTCAAGGCTTGCACTCTACCACTTTAGCCATAGCGCCACTTCCCGCTTTTTCTGCTTATGTGGTGCTGAGGAATAGAACCCAGGGCCTCTTACATGCAAGGCAAGCACTCTACCACTGAGCCACCTTTCCAGCCCTATATTCCCCTTTTTTTTTGGGGGGGGGTCCAGTCATGGGGCCTGAACTCTGGGCCTGGGCGCTGTCCCTCAGCTCTTCAGCTCAAGGCTAGCGCTCTACCACTTGAGCCACACTTTCCAGCCCTATATTCCCCTTTTTTTTTGGGGGGGGGTCCAGTCATGGGGCCTGAACTCTGGGCCTGGGCGCTGTCCCTCAGCTCTTCAGCTCAAGGCTAGCGCTCTACCACTTGAGCCACAACACCACTTCCGGCTTTTTTTCTGCTTATGTGGTGCTGAGGAATTGAACCCAGGGCCTCACGCATGCGAGGCAAGCGCTCTACCATTGAGCCACCTTCCCAGCCCTATAATCCCTTTTTTTTAACCAAGATTTGAACTTATGCTTACTCCATGAGTTCTCCACTACTTGAGCCACATCTCTAGTTTGGCTTTTTGCTGGTTTCTTTGGAGATGGAGTCTCCAGTACTTTTCTGCTTGGATTGGGCTTCAACTTCAACCTTCCTGAGCTCACCCTTTTAAGTAGCTAGAATTAATTCTCTTTCTTGAATAGAAATGTAATTAGTTTCTTTATATTATTGGTCTTCACAAAGACCCAGGTTTTTGTTAATTGCTTTTATTTTGGGGACAAGTTTTTTGCTTCATAGCCCAGGACACCTTGAACTTGAAACCCTCCTACCTCAGCCTCCTGGATTGCTGGTATCACAGGCATATGTCAACATGCCTAAATCAAAGAACCAGTTTTAAGTCTTATTTGCCAGACTGATATCTAATTTCTAAACTATAGTATAACCATGACAGGAGTGGACAAAAATATGAGAGACTGTATTCAAAACTATCATATACTTCCTAGCTATGTGAAGTTGAAGAAATTGCCTTATCTCTCAGAACCTCAGTTTTTACCCCTCTAAATGTAACTACCATTTATTGAACACTTGCATGCTGGTACTATACAAAGCCTTCTAAATAGGCTAGACACTGGTGGCTCATGCTTGTAATCCTAGCTACTCAGGAGGCTGAGATCTTGGTACAAAGCCAGTAAAGCTAGGCAAGAAAGTCCATGAGACACTAATCTCCAATTAACCACTAGAAAACAAAGTGGAACTGTGGCTCCAAGTGGTAGAGTGCTAGCCTGAGCAAAAGAGCTCAGGGACAGAGCCCAGGCCCAGAGTTTAAGCCACATGACTGCAAAAAAAAAAAAAGCCTTCTAAATATAGCTACTTGTTTGTTTTGTATTTTAAAATAGTATGTGTCAAGTGTATGATTTAGTGACTGAGACAAGATGGATCCTAAGTGATAGTTGCTATTGTTATTATTGTTTGTAGGTTTCCAGGTTAATCTCTCATCTACTTATCCTTCTGGGAACAGAAAGTAGCAGGGTTCTTCCTGGTGTTCCCAGTATATAAGACAATAAGTCAAAACTTGTTAGGAGCTGGGTGCCAGCGGCTCACACCTGTAATCCTAGCTACTCAGGAAGCTGAGAGCTGAGGACTGTTGTTCAAATCCAGCCAGGGCAAGAAAGTCTGTAAGACTCTTACCTTCAATTAACCACCAGCAAACCAGAAGTGGTGCTGTGGCTCAAAGGACTAGAGTACTAGCCTTGAGTAAAAAGCTCAGGGACAGCACACCCGGGTTCTAAGTTGAAGCCCCATGACTGACAAAAAAAATAAATAAATAAACAATAACAAAAATATCTAGGAAGATAAAACAACTGACGTCTTTCTAGTACCAAATGGTGTCAATGCTGAGAAATGAGGAAGTTCCCATATGACACAGAAACTTGAATTCTCAGCAAGTCTGGGAAGTCAGATATCCATGACTGATAACGCAAGTGGGAATGGCCATGACGATAATTGGTGATCCAGGGCGGTTTGCAATGGTCTAAACTATTTAACTGCCTCCTCTCTTTCTGCTGCTTCTAAAACTGCACCCCCAACCCACTCGCACAGCTACAGGAGCATGCTCCATTCCTGACACTAATTAAGTCCTGTCACACCTGCTTTAAAACTCTTGCATGGGGGCTGGCAAGATGGCACAGTAGTAGAGTGCTTGCCTCACATGCATAAGGCACTGGGTTCGAGTCCTCAGCACTACAGAAGCAGATAAAGCCAGAAGTGGCGCTGTGGCTCAAGTGGTAGAGCTGAAGAGCTCAAGGACAGCGCCCAGGCCCAGAGTTCAAGCCCCATGACTGACAAAAAACAACAAACAAACAACAACAACTCTTGCATGGTTCTCCTGTCCTCTTAATAATACAGTAGAGACAAAGGTCCTGTCTTCTTTTCTCTACCCTGCCATGATGCTCTAAGAAACACACCAGTGGATTCTCCCTTCTGCTTCTTGTTTGCATCCTTCTTCCCTCTGCCTAGAAATGAACCCTACTTCTTTTTTTTTCTTTCTTTTTGCCAGTCCTGGGGCTTGAACTCAGCACCTGAGCACTGTCCCTCAGCTTCTTCTGCTCAAAGCTAGCACTTTGCTGGGTGCCAGTGGCCCACACCTGTAATCCTAGCTACTCAGGAGGCTGAGATCTGAGGATCACGGTTCAAAGCCAGCCCAGGCAGGAAAGTCCATGAGACTCTTATCTCCAATAAAGCACTCAGAAAACTCAAAGTGGAGCTGTGGCTCAAAAGGTAGAGCGCTCACCTTGAGCTAAAGAGCTGAGGGACAGCGTCCAGGCCCAGAGTTCAAGCCCCACAACTGACCAAAAAAAAAAAAAAGCTAGCACTTTACCACTTGAGACACAGCACCACTTCCAGCTTTTTCTGTTTATGTGGCATTGAGGAATCAAGCCCACGTTTTCCTGCAAGGCAAGCACTGTACCACTAAACCACATTCCCAGCCCCCTTCTTCTTCTTTATCTGCCAAATTTCTACTTGTCCTCAGGTTTTAGCTTACATGTCACTTCCTCCAAGAAGCTTTCTTGGGTTCCCTTCGTGGGGCCTCGCTGATAGCCCATTGAAGTTCCACAGGACTCTGTCCCTAGAGTTCAGCTTTGGACAAGATTCATGGCTTTCCATCAGTGTCTCGCATTAGTGCAAGTGCTCAGGAAGTCATGTTGAATGAAGAAGAGAATATAACACCATGGTGTTCTTCATCTATCTATGTGTCTCCTCCATGAAGCCAAAGGAGTCTTGAAGACAGGAAGCTCTCACTCAACTTAATATGTGTGGTCCCCAGTGTTGTGCTGACACATGAGAGATACCCCAAAATGCTTGCTTAATGTTTGGACGAATGTATGGGTGGTTAATGAATAAGAGAATGATTGGATGAATGGATGACTGGATGGTGTGAGTGGATGGATAATTGGAAGGATGAGTGGATGGGTAAATAGATGGGTGAATGGATGGATGAGCAGATGGATACCCAAATGGATGAGTGGATGGATGGAACTTGATGGAAGTGGAAGTTGTAACTCAGACATTAAACTGAGTCTTCAAATGTTTGCTTTTGGGGATCAAGTATCACTTCCAGAGGAAACTAAAGGATACAAGGCAGTTCCAACTGGAACGGCCATCATCATCTCTTACTGCCCAGGCCCTGCAAAAAATCCTCCCTCTCTCCCCACACTTCATATACCCACCTGGTCCTTGGGCTCTTGGCTGACCAACCAGAAAAGGAGAAGGTTGTTACAGGTGATATTCACTTCCGGGAGAGTGTCTAAATAAGTCTTCAAGGTGGTGGTCCCCTTGGTCTGAGGTGGAGGCTGTCTCATAGATGACGGGGCGTTGGGCATCCAGGCCCCAAAGTCATGCTGTGGAGAGGCCCAGCACATTTAGATCAGAGGGCAAGGACCCCCTTGCTCTTCATCATTCCTCATCCCACCTCTCTACACTCCCAGGTGTCAAAATTGGGAAATAAGGAGATCGTGGAAAGTCCCAGAAGTGGGGCAGAAGCCCAGCTCACCCCTTGTCATTCCCCACCCAGTATTCCAGGATTGGTTGGAATGAGTCATTGGGGAGGGAGGAGGACTCCGAGAGGAGGTCATCCTAGAAAAGAGCCTTAGGCTGAGATGTCTCACAAGCAACCTGATTCTACATACGGCCTGATCCCAACTAGTAGCATTTGTGGACAGGAGCCCACAAATTCTACTGCCAACATAACTCCAACTTGAGTCTCCATCATCACCTTGGACCTCACCCAGCCATCACTCAACACTCCACCCAAGTTGCTACCTCAACATCAACCCAACTCATAAACCCACTCTAACCCTGATCCACCCAGGCTTGTCAACCAGAACTCTGGACTTCGAGTTCATGGTCGAGTCTATCACACCCATGATGGCCTGATGCCCCCAGGGCCTGCCCTCCACGGTCTCACCTGCCCACTATTGACAGCAGCATGCTGGGCGGAGCAGTTAAAGATGATTGCAGTGAGATACTTCACCAGCTCTCCTGGGGTGCACAGCCTGCTTGGGAAGCCTGGGTGTGGGACAGAAAGGAAGAGGGTGTGGATGGGAGGTACTGGATTCCTGGGGATAGTTCTGGGCTTGAGTAGGGGGGAAGGGGAGAGTGAGAACATAAGGAATAGATATTGACTATGACTGTCTCAGATCAAGATGAAGGCTGGGATGAAGTTAAGCATGGCCATGTCCAAGAGCTGTGGTCTCTGAAAGGAGTCAGGATAGGATGTGAGTGCTGGCATGGAACCAGTTGCCAAGGCTCATAATGGAGCCAAGTTTAAGCTGAATATCAAGATGCCTCTCTTCTGGCCTCCAAACACTTCCCCCGGCCGCCCATACTAGCACTTAATGACTTGATTCTGCTCATTTTTCTAGGACTAGATCTGTAATCTTGGATCCTCTGAGCGATCATTCTTGGCCAAGACAGATGACCAGAGTTTGTTGTTCAGAAGTACACAGCAAGGGAAGCAGAAAGAAGTATCTAGAGAAAGCAGGTGGATTAGAAAGGGCACTGGAACTAGTATGGTTAGTGGAGACTTTAATGGAAGAAGAGAACGGGCCTCAAGTTGGGGGGTGGGTGATCATTGAATAAGAAAACTAACAGTGGGGCTGGGAAGGTGGCTCAGTGGTAGAGCGCTTGCCTTGCATGCATGAGGCCCTGGGTTTGATTCCTCAGCACCACATAAGCAAAAAGAAAAAAG